CTCAGAGGAACTGCAAGTCAGCCTGCTACGGTGCCAGCAACCTTCCTGAGGAATCGGTTTCACTTGGTTGGGCAGTATGATTCCATTAAAATGACCGTCACAAGTGTTCTCGGTCATGTGTGCCTATAAAAGATGGCTAAGTAGGAGAAGAAGGATGTACCAAGCCAGCAAAATTAATTCATACAATTCTGAAGGCAGACCACAGTCTGTCATTTGTAACATCCACAGCAACAATTCCCTAGAAACTCAGTGTAATTAAGAATTCCTGTTCATTATCTAGTTTAAAAATGGACTGGGATGGGTCCTAGACCATCTCCATGCCTGAGGCATGAAATGGGGCTGGCAGGGTGCCGCTCCCCAGGAGCTCATCTGGATGCTGAGAAAGAGCCTCAACTGCAGCTTGAGACAGGACCTTCAACCCCAAAGACTGTAGGGCGGCCTCTCAGAGGACCTCCTGTTCAGGGCTGTGGGAGAGTTGGTTCAGAAAAGGGCGTGTGGATCGAAAGGCCCGATACAACAGCTACTGCTGGAAGGAGATACTGTGCCGATCGAACAGGTACAGCCACGGCTGGAATTTTCCTACAAAGTGTTCACATCCATGGTGTAATCCAGGGAGTATGGGGAGGAGTGGCCAGGAGTTGGGGACTCACGACTTCCATAGTTTTTAGAATTCACCTCTAGGCTGTGTTTCCTCACCTGCCTGACATTCCATCGTGGGAAAGTCATTTCTTAGCCGAGTGTGGTGGCGCACGCCTGTAATCCCAGTGTTAGCCTCGCTGAGGCAGGAGGATCCCTGTAAGTTCAAGGCCAGCCTGAACTATATAGTGAGACCTTGTCTCCAAGCTCAAGTCAAAACAAACCTAAAAGAGAAAGAAAGTCATATCTTCGTGTGCAGGCAGTGTCCCTAAACACCATCTCTCCTTACATAAATATTTTTGGGAGAAACTTTAAAAAAGCCTTTTACCAAAAACATTGCTATCCATGACAGCCTCTTAAGATCATGTCAGTGCTAGTGAGCTAGTCAGTGCTCACTAGGATTTGAGATTCTCTGACTGCATTCACTGCTCCATGCCTGTGGTTTTCATTGTGTGATCGTGGGACCCTTGTGGGGAGGGACTCCAATCTCCATGCCCCAGGAAGTCAGAACTGTTTTTAGAGTAATCTTAAGACCATGCTTGCCCTTTATACTCACACCTCTCAGGGAGTTTTCCAGAACTACAAGACATGTGACATCACAGCAGACAGAATGCAGAGGCAGGCTCGAGGATCCAGCTGTCTTTGATTATACCGCACACTAAAGAGGTTTGCAAACGAAGAACACAGTGCTGTTCTTCACACTAACTTGTTTGTTGGGCTTGGAGCTGTTTGGGGAGTCTCAGTGATTTTGAAGATTGTAAAGCATCCTTGAGAACCACTGCTCTGCAGCATAGTTGGTGTCCTGCCTTGGCAGTTTCGTGGGAGTGTGCATTGGGTTCCACCTTCACTGAGGTCATGGGCAGAGAGAGGCGCTTGTGGAGTGGGGGAGGAGCTGCCTGTACTTCTGGAGGATGCCGAATCAGGAAAGGAGAGGTCAGCAGGAAGATTCTCGAGTGAAGGGGAGGGCACCAAGCAGGAGTGCAGAAGGCTCTAGGAGGAAGTCTCCCTTCCCGGGCTGCTGAGTGGATGTTTTTATGGTACAGCGGCAGGAACCAAGGCATGCTTTAGAGTCAAAACCCCCTCAAAGTAGAGTGACCTAGGCAACTCACTTGGTTGTGAAATAAAAAGTTTGGACTAAATCAAGATTTTCAACACAGTATTGTGATAAATAACAGATTATAAAACCCAAAGCAGTAATTAAAGAAAATACCAACATTTGAAACTATTCACTTAATTAAAAAGAAGGCGATTTAACATTGTCTCCTGTCAAATACCACTCTACATGCTTGAGGTTTTGGTTGTTTCTCAGTGTTGGGGGTCAGCCCAGGCCCTTACACATGTGGGGCAAGTGCTTTGCTACTGAGTCAAATCCCAGCTGTTGTACTATTTTTTTCTTAAAAAATTTTTTTAGTATATGTTTGCAATATACACAGTCCAGTCCTTGCGGGGAGTACGTAGTATACATATTGCATCTTGATTTTTCTTAACTCCCTCTCCCCTTTCTCCCTCCCATTTCCCCCACCCACGGAGTTCTGATGTGCTTTCTTGAGTGAGAGCACTGCTAGCAGAGAATGACTCAGCCTCCTGAGACTAAGACCTCGTGGCTAAGAGAAGCAAAGAGCCATTGGGAGTAGATGACTTGATAAGAGTTTTCCCAGCTCACAATGTACAGATTTAAAATGGCATTTGGTCCTATCCTGTAGACACACGCCCTCAAAGGACTGAGGAGAAATCTTTTCAGAAGGGGGTTAAGAGTTATCAGACTTCCTTAGCCACACAGGTCTGGGATTATTTCTTAACTTTGCCACCTGATATTTGTGTGTCCTTGAGCAAGAGATATAATCCCTCTGTAATCAGTGGGACAATAATGCCCAACCTCAGGACTACTGTGGTTGTTGAATGAGAAAACATATGTCAAACTGGTCACCTCATACCCAGAGCTCAGCACAAGCTGTTTGCTTTCTCTTTTCTCCAAGTGGCCAAGAAGAGAACCGAAAGACATATGTGACCACTTTGTCTTTTGGAGGTACCTCTTGATGAGAAGCGGGACTGCCTCAGAGGGGTGAGGTTGCTGTGCTTCCAAGCTCGAGAGGAGAGAAATTCATCTGTAGGTTGAAGCTAAGTCAGCCTTGAGAAGCCAACTTGGTGGCCTGTTCCTTCTGGGCAGCCGCATGGGTATCTCCCCTCTCCTCGCTCTTCCCAGGGGTCCCCCTTCTTGGGAGACATGATGAATGGACCACAACCAGTGAAGGTTGGTTCCCCATTCATCATCTTCTGACTTGCTTAGTGGGGCCATTTGCTTTCCAACAGGTGAGGTGGATGAGATGAATTACATGTTGTCAAAACAGTAAGTAATGGGAAGTTGTGGTCATTCTTCTGCTATGTAGAGGTGGAAAACATTTCAACTGAGATTCACAGCAAGCTCAGGAGATGGGCATGTATGGGTCCTCAGCTCCTCTCCCCTACTTGTCTTACTTAGTTTTTTAGATTATCACCAAAAAGTTTTTTTTTTTTTTTTTTTTTTACTATTTTCTTGGCACAAAAATATTTGGAGAAAGTACATGCAGGCTAAATTAAACATTAGTTTGCATAAATAAACATAATAGGCAGAGATCTGAGAAGACATTTTCAGGGTCCCTTGGTTAGTTCATTACATGACTTCCAATTGAAGAGGGATTTTTTTTTGGCAACCCAGAGCTCAAAGAATTAAGTGGCTCCCAAAGTCAAGCTTTACATGTATTCACAGAGGCAGAAGAGAAAGAAAAACACAGGCTTTGGAATGCAGGAGATTTGAAGTTGAATTTGGATTTCACTTTTTACTAGATTGTGACTTTGAAATACTCTTTAACTTTATTGATTGATTGGTTGGTTGACTTTATTTCTTGAGACAGGGTCTCACTATGTGTCCTAGACTGGCCTCAAATTTGCAATCCTTCTGCCTCATCCTACTGAGTACTGGGATAATAAAACGTGCTTGGACATACTTTTTAATTATGCTGAGCCTTAGTTTTCTCACCAAATTGGAGATAGAACTTATCTTGTAGGGTTAATTTTGAGACAGGGTTTTGCTAACTTGCCCAAGCTGGTGTCAAATTTGTGATTGTCCTGCCTCAGCCTCTCAAAGTGCTGGGATTGCCACCACACTCAGCTGCTATATGTTTTTGAGTTCTGCCTCTATTCTAGCTGAAAATTACTGTTTTTTGGGGAAGTTAACTAATTAATTGACTGGCTTAAATATATATAGTCAGAGCTAGGCATGGTGGCACATGCCTATAATTGCAGCACTTACAAGGCTGAAGCAAGAGGGCCACCATGAGTATGAGGCAATCCTAGGCTACATAGTGAGTTTAAGGCCAGCCTGAACTACATGGTGAGACCCTGTGGCAAAACAAACCAACCAACCAACCCAAACCAAAACAAAATATACAGTCACAAGCAGTATAAATAAACTTATAAAGAAAGAACATTAGTAGCTATAAATGCATATGAACATATATAAATTATGTAAGCATAAGATCAAGTGCAGGCTCCTTATCATGGACCGTGTAGTGGAGGGTCCAGCAGAAATTGAATCTGTGGATCACTGAAGGTGGCACCTCTAGGAGGGGGTGATAGATACCTTAGAATCACTTGGGGAGACACTCTTAGAAGGATGCCTTGTTTGAATCACCAAGCCTACGTTCCCTTAGCCCAGTGGTGGTGATCCTATGGCACAGGAATGTAACCAGCTGTTTGCTATCATTGAAAGCTCTAAAAGGTTCGCCATCACTGTCTTAGATGGATGAATAGGACTATTGCTGCATTAGACTGGCACCGTTTTCCCAATTTTCAGGAATAATTTCCAATTTCCACTCTGAATTTTTCTGTTTTGATTGGGAGTGGATTTAAAAAAAAATTTTAAATTTATTTTTAGATTTTTTAAAAAAGATTTTTAGAAAACACAAAAGACCTCAATCTTAACATGAAAATTGAGAATGTATATTCATAAAAATATAGCATTTAAAAAGTGAAGCCATTGAAGGGAAGATACTGGCAATTCATATAACTGGCAGAGGTTCATGTTTAAATGATGCGGAAATACCTCCTACAGACCAATGGAAAAGAGGAACAGGCCGTTCATATGCAGAGGAAAGTCACATGGCCAAAACAATAGACAATATGCTAATTAGTAATGAGAAAAATAAACTTTAAAACACAATGAAACATCATTGTGCATTCCTTACAAAGGCTAATGCTAAATAGACCGACAATAACAACTGACAACATGGAGTGGAACAAAATGTCAGACACAGTGGGAGGGAAGATAATTTGGTAAATTAGTCTGGAAGGTTTTGCATAATCCATTGAAGTTCAAGATACCCTTATCCTACTACCCAGAAATTCTAATCAGAAGTAGAGACTCGATAGAATATTCATTATTGCCATGACTACTATTGTGTCATTCTGTGATATGTTCTTGCTAGGTAGCTCCGGCAGGCCTTGAACTGCAGATCCTCTTGCTTCATCTTCCCCGAGTGCTGGGATTGCAGCCGTGCACCTCCACACCTGGCTTTGTTGTTGTGTTTAACGGTCTCAGGCATGACACAATCTGAAAATCCAGGGAAACTGTGGTCTGATTATACAGTGATATCCCACACTTCTAAGAAAAGACTGCACTGTAGTTTCTCTAGATGACATTGACATTTACCTATAATACTGAGCAAAGAATTCTCACGCTCAGTGTTATTCTAATTACCCAAAGAGAAGGTGACTCCATTAAACTTTCGGGTCTCCAGGATGGATATATAAGCATCAGAGACATTCAGGGAAGAAAGGCGGTCACTGCCGTAAGTGCAGTCACGTGCTGTAGCAGGACTGTGCCGATCAGGACAGCTGGTTGCCGTGTTTCATCCCCAATCTCAGTGGGTAGTTTGAATTAAGCCATGGCTGGAATATTTACATCTGGGAAATCAGTACATTCTATAAATATGAAGGTATTTTTTTATTGGGTCCTGGAGAAAGAGTTGCTAAATAGTTACCATCCTACCACTATATAAAAAATATGGTAATTTCCCCTTGAGTGAGCAGATAAGTATAGTTATTGGGGAACAGGCATATTTGGGTCTTCTCTGAGGCTGGAACTCATTGGATTTGTTAGTCAGAGCATTAGTACACTGATTTTCCTATATGTTTTATACATTACAGTAGTCTGCTCCCGCCCCCAAGACCTAACATAAAGGCTGTAAGGCAAAATAGATGCATAAATAAATAAAGGGTGTGTGGGGAAAAGTGGGAACCCTCAGATCCACTATATTTCAATATAAAGGAATGCCTGCCTACCTTGTAGCATGGGTCTACAGCGAAATAACAGTGTTACATCATGGGATTTATGGGGAAAAGGCACCAGAACCCACTGTGACTTAGTGTCCCTTGGGTGTGCTGAGTCTGTGTGTGTGAATCAGAAACATGAAGGGCGATGACCCGAGAGGGACACACGCAGCTTGCTTAGCACTGGTGGGCTGGGCCTCCTTTGGGGGAAGTACAGCCTGCTCAAGGATCTGGATCCAAGTGGCATTATTCCAAGGTGGACTGTAGCCATCAGGACTGTGCAGGGACAGTCTTCAACAGCAACACTGTGTGACAGCAAGAAGCAATGGCAGTGGCAAAACATCTAATTCCCACCTCACTTAAATATGTCTAGGACTGACCTCTTGGGTTGAGCAATTCCGGAAGGGAATGAGATGCATTTTGCAATCATTCAATTAGGTCTGTATCAAGGATACCAATTATTAGATGCATAGTTCTTGGGGAAATAGTATATGAGATGTGATAGAAATATATGGTGACTGTTTAAATAAAAATTATTATGGTAAAGTACACAGTCATGAATTCCCCTCAAAATATAGCCCCCCCTTACTTTGAACAAACTTATCCCATTGTTCTTGCCACTTACTTCAGCGAAGCAGTTCTGGAAGTCTTTTGTGAGTGCCTTTATAAGGTGTGGTGAAAGTAAGGAAAAACAACTGATAAAAACATCATGGCGCGTTCTCATCCAACTTAGCAAGATATCTGGCAGCACGAGACTTCTGGCTCTTCCACAAAGGCAAAACTGTCTAAGAAAGGTAAATGTTTCAAATCATTTCAGGACATTGAAGTAGCTACAAAAGGCTTAGTAACTGAAGACACTCATGAAAGAGAAATTCCAGAACTGCTTCAGAAAGTGGCAAGGATGGGGGGCTAAGTGTGTTCAAAGTGAATAGGAATATTTGAGGAGGATTAATGGCAGTGTGTCTTTTTGCTGTATTAAATTAAAAAAATACTTATTCATTGTATTTTTCAACCATACTGCACATTCATGTGGCCTAGTTTTCCCTTGCAGATGACTTAAGAATTGTACAGGTAAAATGTGTCTTTACATTGTAGAGCTTTGGCAGTCTCCACCTTACCATGTGGTTGAATATAGCATTGCTATCAAGGGAAAGGATTGGTATCTACCTCTGGTGTGATTCAGAAGCATGCAGGGTGATACCCACCTGTAATCCCAGCACTTGGGAGGCTGAGGCATGAAATTTGAGGTCAAGTGAGCTCCCATCTCAAAAAAAAAAAAAAGAAAGAAAGAAAGAAAAGCAAAAGCATGTGAGATACTTGTGTAGTATCCTTTCCATGTTTGACTTGAGCCCTTTAAGGCTTTAGACCAAACTTCCCATTTATAGGACATAGAGGGGACAGGAACATAAAAGAAGGCAAGAGGAAATACTCCCAGAAATTCAGAATAAGGGGTGGTCCAGAAGACAGCTGGCCTGCACTCTTCACAAAGGCGGTGTCATGCAATGAAGTGTGCTCTGTGCGGGTTGCTGTAGTCCAAAAGGCTGAAGATATTTTGATGATTTGGAAAATAGCCACAAAAGTAAATTTGGAAACAATTGTTGAATTTGACTTTGGACCAGACACTAAATGATATTAAGGATTATTGTGAATTTTCTCATGCATAATTAGAGTGCTGTGGTTAAGGAGGAGAATATCATTATTTTTGGGAGATAGCTAAGATGTATAGAAGTGAAGTGCTTTGATTATTGCTACTTACTTTCTTAGGATTTCAGTTGGCTTCCAGCTACACGATGTGAGGATTCAAAGGGTTTTCTGGAAAACTTAAGAAATGTGACAATGATTGTGTTCTCTAACAGCAGCTGCTCGTGTTCCAAAAAATAGCAGTTGGCTCCTGTTAGCTTAGAATGCCCAGTGTGACAGAGTTGTGTGTCAGTTCCGCAAAGACATGATGAGAAAGGCCACTTGCTTGCAGATGGGTGGCATTCTCTGCAGCAGACAACCCTTTGTGACACAGGGGCAGGGAGACCCAGGTGTCTGACCAGACCCCTCTCTGTCTGCAGACAGAACCGGCAGAGACTCTTCAGTTTGAAACAGGCTTGGAAGGAACACAGATTGCTCTGGTGTCTTCACTGGGAATAGCTTGATTTTCTTATCAGGGTCTTACCATCTCGACTTTGGTGCATTTGTTTAGCACCTGTGGAGCTTGAGCGAGTTGCCTGCTGCTGTCAGTGCTATGATTCACACAGCTGTCTGCCTGATTTCTTCTGCAGACAGATGTCCCCAAGTGGCCGTGTGTGCTTTCCATTTTGACAGCCTGTGTGGAGTCTCAATTCAGGGCTTTAGAGCTGGGACAATTAATTCTTAACCTGGACCTCACAGATCCATCCTGGGATGACTGTGGATGAGTTTCAGGGATCCCATGAACCCCTTGGGGTTCCAGTTTTCCAAGTCTCAGTCCTTCTGTGCCCTGCCCTACCCTACCACCTGGAGAAGGATTTCTAGCTTCCGGCGGATCCTGGAAAGAGATTACAACTCAAGAAACGTGGGAGCCACTGGTCTAGTCCAACCTTCAAGTGCCACTTAACAGAGAAACTGAGAGATCAGATCAGGAAGAGGATAAATTTTTGAAAATTTTGGGATATCTGTGTAATATTATAGAACTGACCTGGTTTCCTACTGCTGCAGACTGAGCTAATGGCCCAGTAAAATTGATTGAATGAAATACAGCCACTAGGGAGTTTTTGCTGTCAGCACAGAAACCCCAAATAGCACAGACACGTCTGGTTGAAATCCATGAGAAAGGGTACAAATTTAGGAGCATCCCCTGCAGTCTCTAGAAGCCAATGCCATGGGGGAAATCAGTTAGATTCTTTTGCCTGGATTACATTCAAAGTCTGAAAAAAAATATTTATTGCAAAATATCCATGTCCACATTCTCTGTCCTTTACCCACATTCTTCACACCCCGCCCCTCTACCTGGTTAACTGAAAAAAAAAGAAGAAGAGGAGGAAGAGGAGGAGGAAGAGAAGGAAGAGGAAGAAGAAGAGGAAGAAGAGGAGGAGGAGGAAGGGGAGGAGGGAGAAGAAAAGCAAGTTCCTTGGTAGCTCACTTTTCTTTTTGAAGTGAAAGAAAACATTCTGATGTAAGTTATTTGTGTTTACCAAATAAGTAGGAGAAGATAAAACAGATTCTTTAAAATCCAGGTGGTAGGGATGTGTGTTGGGTGGGGAACCAGGCCATTAAGCCAGGCTAGAAAGGCACAAGCACCCGGGTGCTGAGTGCAAAGCCCTGTCCGTGCTGCTCTCCAGCGCCCTTCTCTTGCTGTCACCTTAGCTCTGGTCGGCTCCTCACAAGCCGGGTGACTCAGGGGCTTTCCGCAGATCACTCTATGATTAGCATCTTCCCATGACCAAGTTTTCTTCAGGACAAGTTTTAAATATCCCGCAGAGGACATCTGGTGGATTTTACATATATACACGGGAGGAGGAGGAAGAGGAGGAGGAGGGGAAGAGGAACGGGAACGCTCATGGTAGGCGCGTTTGCACAACTCACACTGGAGGAAAATGCCTCTTTGGCTGTGGTCCCCAAAACTGTTTTCAGCCAAAGTCCAAATCGAGGGAAGGGTCCTATGTTTCTTTGACCTCAGCTTCATGTCTTTTTCGTTCACTCGTTCGTTCATCACACCCTTCTGTGTTCATCACCCATTTGAAAAATGTTCATTGAGTCCCAGTTGCCACACAGAGCTGCGCCCTCACCGTTGTACCTACCTAATCTGCGTTTGAGACTCAAGACCTTGGAGTCATTGTGGTCAGCCTTTGCCCCTCCCACTGGCTTCCGGTCCGTTTTCACCCTGCTAGGCTCATCTGACCGATTCTTCTGCGTTTAACCCACCCTGGGACCCGCTCATTTCACTGGTGCTTCTCCTGCATCTCCCACTTTGGCTTCCTCACCACTTGCCGTCTCAGGGCATCTGTACTTCTCACCCGTGTTAGAGTTTCTAGACGCCTCCCGCTCCACTGATGCCGTGTTTGCATACGGCGTGGCCACAGTGAGTGCGTCACCTGCTTTTCAGTGCTCTCTTGTATCTTGGTGCCATTATGACTTAAAAAAAAAAAACAACCAAAATCTCTTTCATTACTGCATGTTTGCGGGACCTAATGATCGTATTCATCATGGGGGCCTTTGTGACTTTTCTTGTACGTCTCCCTGAATTGTTCCCCCTTCCCTCTTTTCTGGACTAAAGATATTTTGAGTTCAAATATCACTTCTTCTGAGAGGCCCTTCCAGGCTTTCCTTCAGCTGTACCTCTGCTGATTGCAAGTGTGAATGTATGTGAATGGGGTGCCCTGTGTCACGAGGACCTTGTTTATATAGTTTACTTCTGGGGCTTTGAAAAGTCCGTGACACATGTATTTCTACTAGACGAGGATCTGCCTGGGGGCAGGAGCCAACTATGAACATCTTTCTTTGCTACCGCATGGTGCAGGTACTGAGCTAGGTACTGGGAATGGGCAGCATCCTCGTAGTCTGGCTGGATAGACAAATAGTGACTCTCTCCAGCATCACGGGGAGCAGCAATTGCATGGCACAGCATCAATGCAAGGCTTGACTCTGCTTCACAGAAGCAGAGACAGTTGAAGGAAGCAGTTCCTTATTTTAATAATTCTAAGCACATGGCTTTTATTTTCACATCTAAAGCCAAGATTTTGTTGTTGTTATTGTTACTGTTTCGAGACAGGGTCTCACTATGTAGCCCAGTCTGACCTCGAATTTGCGATCCTCCTGCCTCAGCCTCCTGAGGGCTGGAATTCCAGGTATGTGTCACCGTGCTCAGCAATGTAACCACTGAATGTGGTAGTGTTTCTTTCTCATCCCAAATCTGGCATGAATTTGACAATGTGTCATATAGTACAGGGCATCTTACTAAGAAGAATATAGGATATTTAGACTCTAATGGTTGCACATAATAGATGCCAACTTGATTTTCTAATAAAAGTTATTTCCCTATTGCTGCTACAATAACTACCGTAACAATGGATTAAAATAACAGAAATTATCAATCTATAGCCCTGGAGGCTAGAAATCCAAAATGAGTCTTTAAGAACTAAAATCAAGGTGTCAAATGCCTGGTTCTTTCTAGGGACATTAGGGGGAGAAATCTCATCCTAGTCCTTTCCAGCTTGCAGGGGCCGCCTGCATTCCTTGGCGTGTGGCCCTTTCTTCCACGATCAAAGTTCATCACTCCACTCTCTAGTTCTGTGTCGCTTGGCCTGCTTTCTGACTCGGATCCTCTCCATCCTGTCCTGAGGACCTTCGTGATTATATCAGACCCATCTGGATAATCCAGGATAATCTCTCCACTTTAATCCGACCAGCACAATCCCTTTTGGACCATCTACCGGTTCTGGGGATGAAGCCACAGACTTCTTTGGGAGGCCATTATTCAGTCGACAACAGGGGGAGTTCATTTAAGGACACTGCTGTGTCTTTAGAGTCCAAGAGAGATTGCAGCTATGTCTCTCTTTCTGTTTCCTACATCTGCTCCTGCCTCTGTGTCTGTATTCCTTTCTCTTTTTGGCAGACTGATTTCCTCTGCAACCCAGCCAATGCTGTATGTGGAAGCACCACTGCTGACAATTCCTGAGGTCACACATTAGGCTTATCTCTAGTTCAGAGACCACAGGGAAAGGCTGATTGGCACACTCGGGTCAATGCCACCCTTGCCAAAGATGCAGCCAAAGGTAAGGGTGTGGCCACAGGGTAGCTCTCTCCCACGCTGTACAAATGCTAGCAGGAAGCCATCTCCAGGGATGTAGAGGCAAACACTAAAAATTGGTCCTCACTGCAGGGTGACAATTTACTAGGAAACAGAGTAAGATAGCAACGTTCCTGATAGAATGTACTAGTACTTACCCAGCATTTTTCAAATAGAATCTAAGAAATATTTCTTGAGTTTAGTTGTGAAATTTCTCCCCAAAATCTTTTTATCACAGGGTTTTATCACCTCTGCCTGGAGTATTGCAGTCAGCTGAGCTGTGCCTTCCTCCTCCCCCGTCATGGTTTTTATTTGTTGTTGTTTGGTGGTACTTGGTATTGAACCCAGGACCTTTTTGCACTGAGCTACATTCTCAGACCTTTTACATTTCTAATTTGAGACAGGGTCTTGCTAAGTCACTCAGTTATCCAGGCAGCATTCAAATTTTTGATCCTCCTGCCTTAGCCTCTCAGAGTGCTAGGATTATGGGAGTACACCTCCACCCCTGACTGCCATGTCACATTTTTACATGCCATAGTTTTTGTCCATGATTTTTCAGTCACTTTCTTCTTATTACAGAGTGAAGTTCACTGATGTATAAAATGGTGAATCCTCGGTTCTGCATATGGGCAGGACAATAATAACATTCATCTTAATGGATGTGTGGGCAAGATGAGGTGAATAGAAGGGACTGTTGTATTTTCCAAAACATCTCTGGTGTGGATCCTCTGTCTTGCTCAGGTCAGCTGCCTACTCTTCCCCCAGACATTTGTCACAGATATTTTTGTGGCTGAGCCTTTGAATCATCGGGGACTCCAGCCCTGGAAATTCCCTTTAGTCCCACTTGGGTGCCTTCAGGCTGCAGGCTGCTCACCTGTCCTCTGCAGTCTAGGAGAAGGTCTAGTGTGTTCCACTCAGGGTCTTGGAGCAGTTCCGAGTCCCACTTCCTGTCCAGATGCATAAACCCTCCGTGTGGCCTTCCTGTGGCCATGTTGCTCCTGCCTGAGCAGTTTGGATGCGGATGAGCTAAGCTTAGGCCTCTCAGTCCCATTTTCTCAACAGTTCTAATTAAATAATGAAAACATGTAATTATCTTTTTAGTTACGATTGTCTTGGCATTTTAATAAAAATTTCAGTTCTTCCAGAGGAACAAAGTCTCAACAGTTCTAATTAAATAATGAAAACATGTAATTATCTTTTTAGTTACGATTGTCTTGGCTTTTTAATAAAAATTTCAGTTCTTCCAGAGGAACAAAGTAGCTATTTGGAAGGCATTGATTATATTTATGCCTGAAATTATAATTTCATGACATTAGTATTTAAACTGTCTCTACCATTTCCATGTCCTTTTATTCTCCCTTTCCCCTTTCTCAGGGGAGATGATTTGCCATTGCAAGGCTGGAATATAGAGGTGATGCCTGCAGTGACCTCTGAGTGGAAAGAAGGCAAAGAAAACCTTCCCTGCTGATGTCTGTTGACCTCTACTCAACTCTGCTTAGGTCACTTTAGGTTACTCCTGTGCACAGCATTTGGATTTATCTGCTTTTTGATTTTTGAGACAGGGTCTCACTGTGTAGCTCAGGCTGGCCTTGAACTCACTGTATAGCCCAGGCTGGCCTTGAACTTGTGGCGATCCTCCTGCTCAGCCTCCCGAGTGCTGGGATTACATGTGTGGGCCACCACACTTGACTTGAATTTTTGAAAAGAAAAAACACACACGCGCACACACACACAAAAGCAAAAAAAAACTCTGTTGCAAGATTTTACTCTAGTTTGAGGTACCATCTTGTCTT